TATATATATATATATATACATGTTCTTTTCTTTTTTACTCGTTTCATATTAGCGACTTTATGATCTGCTCCGTTTATCTGCGCCAATGACTCTTACTCGCCCAATTACTAAACTCTTCTGCATACGACATTAATTGTGTACGTGTTTTCCATAATTAAAGTACACCATCGAGATAATATATATAAACTATCGATTTTATTAATTAACACGAGATGTTATGTTACGTCTATTTTAGACGTCGATACACTGATGCTTATTGGAGCTCATGGAGTATGATTTGAGAACCACTGACTTGCATCGTCAATACTTTAAATGAACTTAATTTATGTTCTCAATTAATTAGAAATATCAATTGGTTATTATTTTCCAATTAATCTTGTATATTCCGCATATAAATTTCGAATACACTTGGCAAACTTATTTGAATTAATTGAATAAACTTATCGGATATTGAATTACTTTTAATAGAATTTCTGAAATTCGAGAAGTTGTGAAATAAATAAATCTCTTCTTTTATACATATTCATATTAAGTAAATCATTTTCTCTCTCTGCTTTATAAAATTATAATTCTAAAAAGAGATGGAAGAAACAATTCTTAAAGTTGTCTACACTCACGATTTGCCTTTCATGTAATATTTTTTTCGATGACCCCTCGCTGGTAAACACGATTCATTGAAAATCTCCCGGCGATAAGATCGTAAATATACAAAACACAGCGACACAAAATGCGTAAAGCCACAGATTAAGAGGGACCAGCGTGACGATCTTTCCCATCGAAAAGAAAACATTTTTTAAAAACGTGAACGTTGACCAAATAAGACACTATACGTACATATATGACATACTTGAGATGGTACAACTATTTGCCTGTGCTTTTCAAAGCTTTAAAGAAATCTCTTTATCCATATGGCATAAAGTCTGAGACACAATTGAAAAGCACAAGCAATAGAAGCAGAGAATAACAGATTTCAACCTATCCAGAAATTGTATATCATAGAATATAAAGTTTTCAATAGATTGAAATCTTATTTGCTGTTTCTATTGCCGGTCTTTAACTTAACTGTTTTTATTTTGTTCGAAATGAAAATATAAAATCCGAATTTCGCCAATTTTCTTTATATACATTTTTCTTTAATTGCAAGTAAAAGAGATAATTCTAAAATGGATTTCTTGATTTAATAGTAATTCAAGTATGTTTTGTAAATATTTCTGAAATATACTCTCCCTGAAATATATTGTGCTACAATGACAGTATGCACACAAATGTACAGTAAATCTGGAATGATTAATAAGACAAGATAAACTAAGAGTACTATTTGTCGACGGTCATATAATTCAAATGGTTACTGTCACTTCGAGAAGTAGAAATCTTTAATTTCGGTAGAGAGAATCGATAAGACAAAAATGGACAATGATGATTGTAGGATTTTTTTGCAAATAAATAAAAATTGATCACATGAATATAATCTCTTGGACTTATATTCTTTCTGTCCGAATTGTTTAAATAGTCGAAGCATTACATACCCAGCATTACGAATCGATTAAATAATCCAATATCCTCCTCGAGGATATTTGGGCCCCCTCGAGTAGCATAGACTCTCTTTTTCTCTCTTTTCTCTCTCTGTTCGAGTTCATATACATGTATTTCCAACTTTCTATTTCTGATCTTATACATGATAATCTTTGGATACGTAACTCGCAGAAAATCCATATTTCCACCTTAATCCGAAAGAAGAATCGAATTGGAAAAGAATCAAAAGACGAACAAGAGTAGGGAAGATTTGTAGGTTATCTCTAGGTTATACTTTTAGGTTATGGCGAGTACACATCCGAAGACGAACATGTTCCAATTTTCCTTTCCATTCCTTACAACCACTCCACCTCATCTCTATAGAGATCCGATTGCGCGGATTTCATTTGGGCGAGAGAAAGACAGAAAATAAAAATAAGTGGTAAACGAAACGTTCAGTCCATCGCTCACCTCGAGTTCCTCGTAGGAGCGGAAGGCGAGGATGGCGAATCCGTCGATAATGTCCTCCTCGAAAGGTGGCTCCTTCTGGTTGGCGGCCGCGAGGGAAGACTTCTTGCGCGGTCTCGGGGGTCGCGGTGGCCTGGGCGGTCGCGAGTGGCTGTCCCGCGGGTGACCGGTCTTGG